ACACATAATTTCTGTACATCTGCGGTTTTATTTCTTTGTATGTTTGGATTGCAAGGATTGTTACCAACATCTGGTGAAAATGTCATTTTAATAGCATCTCTAGAAATATCTTTACTCAGAAAAATGGTGCCGTATTCAATATTTGCTGTATATGTTGTGAAAAACTAACTGCAAGTTACTCTGAATACATCATCTTTATGGTGAAACATGGTGGTGGCAGCACATCCCTTTTGGTATGCTGTTCTTCAGGTAGGAAGGGTTAGTGGCCGCTTGGAGTTGATGAAAATGACTGACTGTCAACACATACTGGAGAGGTTTGGATTGAAACATGCAAGAGGCTGTAAAAGATGTAGGATTGGAGCAGAGGTTCACCTACATAGGAGAAGAATGACACTGAACTTCTAACCAGCACTATAATGCAGTGTCTTGAATTAATAACTCAATATGTCAGAATAATCCAGACCTAAATCGAAGTAGGAATTGGGTTGGAAACTAGTGTTCATAAAGCCTTTTTTGCAGGTAAAATAAACACAACAGAAAAAATATTTGTTGGGCAAAGCATGAGGAGTCCTAAACACTTGGAGCCGTTATTAGATCTAAGGCAGGTGCTACACAGAGTTGACTAAAATGAAGTAAAATAGGAATTTATGAAGAAGTTTTCAGCTGCTATTGGTAAGAATGTTTAAAAGCTGACAGTTTTTCCTTCCCTATCAATTCAATAACACACAGTTCTGATAAAATGCTTTGAAGTTGCTGTTGTGAAGTGAGAAAATAAAAATAAAAAAGTTCCAGATTTCTATACTTTGGCAAAGCTTTGTAAAGAAGGACTTTAATAGGTATATTCACACTTTAAAAGTTGCATCAGTGATGTTTCTGATGCAAATACCTGCTTATTTAATCTGTTGAGGGAGTCAAATTTACTCTAAAAAATTGAACTCATTTCCAGCTCCTACAAAGGTCCTTTAAGTTTTTGTAAATTACATTATAGAATCCTGTCTGCTTCTACAAAAATAGATTCTTCACATGCTTCTTTTTAATTCCGTCTCGCTCCAGCACCTTAAATGTGTTGAGTGAGTTCTTGAGGCCCATTATCTTATCATCCACTTCAGTCTGATGTGCTTGGAGCTTCTCTTCCAAAGCATGGTCCCTCTGACGGAGCTGGCCCAGCTCAGCCAGAGCCACATGGAGCCCCTCACGCAGCTCCACCAGCAGGCCCTGTACCTGGGTCACCTGGGGAGGAAAAACAAAATATCTTCCCAGGATCAGGTTGGAGGAAAGGTGACAGTAAAACAAGAACAAATAGTACATAAATTTAATGATATCAATAATATTTATTTATTTGTCATATTCACAAACTTTGGGAATATTAACTGTATTGTTAATTTAACTATAATACAGAAAAAGTGCCTCTTTCCCTCTTTTATTAATTTTATTATTTTTATTCTTGAATTTACAAGAATGAAAACCCATTTCCGCCACATGAAAGTAAAAAAATGCCAAATAGAAAATCATAATTATGAGTTACAAATTCATAATCAGATACAAATTCATAATTATGAGATAAAAAGTCATAATTTCAACTTTCACAGTCATAATTATGAGACATGCGACTTTCAAACATTGTAACTCATTATTATGACTTTGAAATTCTGAACTTCAATTGGGTTTAGGTCAGTGATCTGGCTGAACCAGTAAAGAATGGTCACAGAGTTGTTCACAAGCCACTCCTTTGTTATTTTAGCTGTGTGCTTTGGGTCATTGTCTTGTTGGACGGTGAACCTTCGGCTCAGTCTGAGGTCCTGAGAGCTCTGGAAGAGGTTTTCTTCCAGGATATCTCTGTACTTGGCCGCATTCAACTTTTCTTCAATTGCAACCAGTCATCCTGTCCCTGCAGCTAAAAAACATCCCATAGCATGATGCTGCCACCACCTGTTGAGATTGTATTGGGCAGGTGATGAGCAGTGCCTGGTTTTCTCCACACATACCACTTAAAATTAATGGCAAAAAGTTCAATCATGGTCTCATCAGACCAGAAAATCTTCTTTCTCATAATGTCGGAGTCCTTCATGTGTTTTTTGGCAAACTTTGTGCGGGCTTTCGTCTTGCACTGAGGAGAGGCTTCCAGCGAGCCACTCTGCCATAAAGCCCCGACTGGTGAAGCGCTGCAGTGATAGTTGACTTTGTGGAACTTTCTCCTATCTCCCTACTGCATCTGTTGAGCTCAGTCAGTGATCTTTGGGTTCTTCTTTACCTTTGTCATCAGAGATGGCAAAAGTACTCACTTTCCGTACTTGAGTAAAAGTACAGATACTTGTGTTAAAAAATACTTAGTGGAAGTACTGATTAAACTTCTTTACTCAAGTAAAAGTAACAAAGTACAGGCTTGTGAATTTACTTAAAGTATAAAAGTAAAAGTAGAAACCACTTTTTTCATGCCGTTGATTTTAAATGGATGTCTGCCAATAGGACTAGATCTCCGTTGTGTTCATTTTCAATCATCTCGTCGTCCATGCTACTATGCTAACGCCACCGCCACCAAGCTGCAATGATTTGCCGCGAATGAATACCGCCAAATCTGTCGATTCATCTTGTAGTGGTGCGTCAAATGCAACGTAGATTCCCATCCAATTAGATTGAATTTGGTATTGATGACATGAAAAATAATAACGGTAACTTCATTGAAATGATTCCAAACTAAAGTAACGAGCCAATTTTTAAAAATGTAAGGAGTAGAAAGTACCGATATTTGTGTAAAAATGTAAGGAGTAGAAATAAAAATTCGCCATAAAAATAAGTATTAAAGTAAAGTAAAAATATCAGAAAAATCTACTTGAGTACAGTAACAAAGTATTTGTACTTCGTTACTTCCCATCTCTGTTTGTCACCAAGGCTCTTCTCCCACGATTGTTCAGTTTGGCTGGACGGGCAGGTCCATGAAGAGATCTGGTTGTCCCAAACTTCTTCCATTTAAGGATTTTAGAGACCACTCTGCTCTTAGGAACATTGAGTGCTGCAGAAATTATTTTGTGACCTTGGCCAGATCTGTGTCTTGCCAAAATTCTGTTTCTGAGCTCCTTGGATAGTTCCTTCGACCTCATGATTCTCATTTGCTCTGACATGCACTGTGAGCTGTAAGGTCTTATATAGACAGGTGTGTACTTTCCTAATCAAGTTCAATCAGTTTAGTTAAACACAGCTGGACAGCTAGCAAAACTTTCTGCATTTCTATTTTTTTCTGTCAAGATGGGGTCCTGAGTGTTCATTAATGAGAATAAAATTAACTTTATTGATTTTAGCAAATGGCTGCAATGAAACAAAGAGTGAACATTTTAAAGAGGTCTGAATACTTTCCATACCCACTGTAGTGGGCGTTATAGTGAACTCAGTCTACTGACTGTTCAGACAGATGATCACTACTTTTTGCTCCCTGTTGGTCACGTGACTCCACCTCCCTGCACACACCTTTGTTATTTGGCGCCCCTGTCGTATAGCGACAGCCAACGGCCACAGCGGGCCACTGTGACAGCAAATCCCATAATGCTTTGCAATAATGGATGATCATTATTTTTCAATGTGCATTGAGAGAAATTTCTAGTCCACTATTTTATCATCCACTAGATGTTCAAACACTCATTTTAAATGGCATAACCACTCAATAGAGCCCTATACATTCGGACACAGCCTTGTGTTCTTGTGAATTAAAACAGCAGTTGGGCTAAGGCTGACGACGTTTCACAAGCACACGAGAATGCACTGTCACTACCCTATCCATACCGGAAGCACAATCAATACCATCGGCTCATTTGAATGTGCAAGCAGATATTCATTCAGTTCGCTATAAATCATGGTACTAAAATTACTTATTTTAATCTTTAAATCACTAAAGAATGCTAATACAAATCTTAAAGCATTTTTCATGACTTTTCTGAGAAAATTTAATGCTTTTTACATTTTCTTCTTTAAACCGCTTGTCTGACATCATCGTACATGCTTAGAGTAGTCGGGCAAAATATGATTAAACTATGTTTATCTTTTTTTTTGTTTTTTCTTTTTTTTAGAATAGGCACAATATACTGTACTATCAGGTTAAAACAAAAGGAAAACATAAAATTAAAAACAGACTGGATGTATGTTTAAATCCAAAGCTGAAAACGTTAGCTCCCACAAGTAGCGTAGTGGCGATATAACAGAAAGGATTTTAAGGCATTCATTTTCTCAGGAAATACATTATTAACCTTTAACATGTTATAGCTTAGACGCTTACTGTTTTTGGAGTGGGAAAAATTTTACTTAAATCTATTTAACAAAATGAAATTGAGGGCGACCCAAATGTATATTTGATTGCACATTCGCAAAGTAGCTGATGGAGCAGATCGAGTGGTGACATCACACTACACATAATGAGAATATGCTTACGACTCAAACTAAAACAAATCAGACCAATCACTAGAAGGAGGAGTTCAGGCTTGTGCCAGGATTACCTACAATGCAAAAGCACATCTGTAAATCAAGGCTGATGTTTTGAAAGTTGATTTATTTTTTAAAATACATTGATTAATGTTAAATTAATGATCAATTTCTGTGTTTTTTAAGCAGACTAGACAGCAATATACCATTTCAAGTTCCAAAGCCCAGACATCAACTGATTTGTTCTCTTCTTAAATATAGGGGTTAAATATTTTGACTGTAGTCTTATTTGTCCAAACGCCACAGGGAACATTTCCAGTGCTTTCTTATTGTTATTACAATTTCCCAGCTTTCAGAGGTGTACATACTCCTGTTTAAGACACCAGCTTGTGGATATGTCAAAAAAGAGACCATGATCAAATGATTCAGCTGTTTATTTTGATCATTATATTTAAGGTGCCCCATAATATATATTTTTCCAGAGACTGAACTTAGCCCTCTAACTATTTTACCTTCTTCACAAATATTTTGTGAAACCAACTCTATTTTCAAGAAAGATGGGCGAAAAATGTATCTCTATAATTTGAAATAACATATGAAGTTCTTAATGTCCCTTTCACCTCGTGAAAACGTTTCAGGGGAATGTGGGTGGCCCAAAAGAAGGGCTCGCCCATGGCATCATTTATGTACCGGTAAGTACCACCATTTGTTCCAGACATTTTGAAAAGATTTGGATTCTTTGATGGTTTTCAAAATGTTTTGTCTTGTAAATTCTATTAATTTTCTTGTCTAACAAAATGTGTTCACTGTGTTCTCAATAACTTAATTTTTTTTATTAGTTTGTATATACCTGTCAGGTTGCACAGTTTGTTTGTTTTTTAGAGGATCCAAATGCAAAGATAGAAGCTGAGCTGGATGCATGAAGATTTAATGCAGATCCAAAGGACAACAGAAGAAAAAGTCCCAAAACAAAATACAGAAAACCAAAAGAACCAGGAGCGATCAGGGAAAAAACACCTTTAAGCGCAAAGGAACACTTAGAAACCAGCAAACAGTAACTGAAAAGGTGTATATGGCAAACAGAACAGACTGGAGTAATTAATTAATTGGTAGCAGGTGTGGACAGAAGGATCTTGAAGGGAGTTAGGCGAAAGGAGACTGACACAAGAGGGCAACAGAGGGTAAACAAGAAATACATTAAACACAAATTACGACCAAAAAACTACAAAAAATTGGAAATGAAATAATTAAAAACTCAAAAAGAAAACTTAAACAGAACTAAAAAGTGCAAAACTGTGACAATACCTAGTTATAAAACGTTTTATTTTTCTATAATGCAGTGTTTCCATCTGTTCATTTTCTACTCTTTGTTTTCTAATTCAGAACCCCTCCAACTGTGTTTTCTTAATACATATCTGGGGATTTTCCCTACTGTGTGCAAGGTCCATTCACATTCTATCTGCATTCATTCAGTCTTTCCAGTCTAACAACAGACTTTAGGTATCAACAGCCTTCCTTTATTCAAAGCCAGTGGTTCCTGCAGTAATTCCGATTCATCCAATGAACTTTGAATCCACTTGCTCTTCTCCTTCTCATTTCTTAGTTTTCTCATGTATCACTGATTAAATTTATTTGGTGGGGATAACTGAATCAGCTCATGGGAACGTTACGTGGGCCATGCAGCTTTCTTTTCTTCCTTCTATCTTTCTATCTCTCTGTGTTGTTCTTTTTCCTAGTCATGTGAAAGGCATCAGGCAGGAGGCTTAATATAACATTTGTCCTGTTTGCCTTTTTTTTTCTTCCTTCTACTTTCTGAGAGCTGACATCGATATTTTTTAGCTGATCTACCTGGAGGCGGCAGATCCGAGGAGTTTACACTGAATTATTCATATACCTTGATGTGTATTATTTATCTCTGGTGAGGAGGAGTGCCAATAAACTCAAAGCAATGGGTAGAAAAAAGAGGATGTTTCATTTTCCCTTTAACTGCATTGTAAAGCTACTTACTGTAGGCTTTTATTATTTCATTTTTAAATCAGTGGCTCAGTCAAACATGTTGATTTCTTTGTTATTTTTTTATATCTTGTGATTCTTTTATGGTACAGCAGCATAGATTATTTTTTTTACTTTAAGTTGGTTTCTAAAACCTTGATAATAAACAACACAAATTTTCTGTCACTTAGTTTCACACCCTGGTATTGAATGAAATCTGCTCATCTATCCAAAAATGTTCTTAGAGTTTCTGACAGTAGTAGCAGGATAGGAGTCGTCCCTTATTAATTTTCAGAGACTTAAAATGTTTGGTTATGTTTGGTTGGTAATGTGCTTAAAAGGTTTTGTAGCTTTAAGAGGTCACCAGTGGTAAAAAGAAGAAATTTGACAAAGGTTTCTTTAAAAAGACCTAACTTCATAAAAATATTAAATACAGTCATTGGTTCAGTTCAATATCTAGCTTTTCTTCTTACTTTTTGCCCAGATATATTTTCCACATATTTACCTGAGAATTTTCCTCAGGAGCTGCCTCCACCACTTCTGCTGCATCTGGAAGAGGGAGATCATTTCATTAAACAGCCCAGTCATAAAAACTGGAGATGCAGCATGTAGCTGCATTAAAGGCAGTCACAGGTTTAATGAAATAAACATTTAGAACCTTAGCAGCCTTTTAAAACTTGATCAGGGTCAGTAACATGAACTCAAGTTTTAATTTCTACTTTTGGGTTGAGAAATGAAAACTTAAATGGAATGCCTGCTCATGAAGTCCGAATTCTTCGTTGGAGAATTTCCAACGAAAATCTTGAATAACTGCTTTAAGCATAAAGCATAAGCATTTAAAAAAACCAAAAAAACTAAACTGTTCATTCATACAAGCAGTGGCGATTTCTCATTGAATACTAAGGAGGCTAAACCTCCCCTGTAGGTTTTTTCAAATTAAACTATGCACCGTCAAATTTCATAAATGTAGTCATTAGACTGCATCAAAAATGCACCTGATTTCATTAGTATGTTGCACATTAATCAGCTGTTTATAAAGCAATCAATAAAAAACAATCTTTTTTTGCTTTAAATGATTAAACATGAATTTAAAGTCAATTTCAGAAGGATTGTAAAAGTAAAATAACAGGGTATGATTCCTTTAAAAATTATATGGAATAAAAGAATAAATAAGATACAATAAATACTATTAGAATCAGATACATCTGAAAGAACCTAATTTGAACAACTAAATCATGTTTATCTCTTAATCTACTAATGTAAATGTTTTTATCTGTTGGTGCCTGAAGTTTTGCCTCAGTCAGCCACAGCCCAAGGAATATATTGGTTATTAAATCAGATCAACACATTGTAGATTTTAATGGTCTGCATGCGGTAAAATGACTTATTAGTCCATGAGAAATATTCCAGATCATTTGCCTTCCCAGTCATGAGAAAGGTATTTAGACATCCGCCTGAGAGACGAAATGTTCTCAAAGATTTTTTTCTGTGTTTCTGTTTTAATTATTTTTATTCATTAGAATATGCACAAAAAGACTGTGACTTCTAACTAATCTAAACGTTCACACATTTTTCTGTACAAAGTGACTTTTGATTTTGATGTTTAAATGCCAATTATGTAGGATTGATTTCTGGTTCTCCACAAACACAGTGCTGCTCTTTGTTGTTGAAAATGTTACAACACAGTCTGAGGCTACTGTCAAAACTGCAGAGGGTCAACTCAAATACGCATGTCACATATATTATCATCCATAATTGACTATCCCCGCTATTACAGCATACTGTGTGGCTTTGAGCGAGCAAAAGGAAGCGTGTCGACTTTTCAACAATCAAGCCTTTTTGTCGGACGGAACGCAACGTGTCGAATTTCCTTAGGGTTGTGTGTTTCACTTCAGTTGGGTAGAATTGGCGTTAAGACGTCGCAGCAAGCTACTGTCCTGAAATGCCTCAAGAATGTCAAACTAATAAAATTATTTTTATTGGTAATCCAGGAAGCAGGAAAAATGGTGTGAATTTTAAAAAAGATGTTTCTTTATATCGTGTTTTGATTCAAGATACCTTTTTAACCCCAACCATAAACTTTATGTGCATCTTTATCCAAATCATATTGGTGAATCCTCTATAGATTAATCTGCCTCCAAGTCAATAAAAGATAATTCAAAAACCTCTGAGACACATAGCCTTCATTTTAATGAGTGAGCTATTCTAGCTTTTATATGTGGTTAATTTAAACACCCCTTCAGACTCTTTACAAACTCTTGGTATAGACACCAATCTTTTTAGCTGAAGACTGTTACTACCTTAAATATACCAGAACCTTAGCCTTCAAAATACATGTAAATTCATCCAACATAAGACTACAGCAGACAATGGTGTGACAGCCTCTAAATATAAATCTAATACATTGTTTATGTGTTTACATGTTTATAGAATTCCTTAAGTAAAGTTTAAAACAGGTATTCAGTAACAACTAAAAGCTAATAAAAGCTGTCAGTATTCTGTGTTTAAGGCAGATGCATATTGTGCTAGCATCCTTTTTTACGTCCAAAATCCTTTCTTCTAGAGTTAAAATCTTGTTACAAGAACATTCCCAGGTTATTGTTGTTCCATATTTGGATATATCCATGATTACTCCAATATTAAATTCTACTATTTTTACATAAAGTTTCCACAATGACTGATTAAAAAGAATACGGGTTTGTTTTATTGTCTTGTTTTTCTAACAAATTGATCATTTGAATAATCAATTTGTTTTGTTTCAGACAGCAGAATAAAGAGGAACATTGTCTCACTTCTTCTTATCTGCAAGTGCAAAGGAGAGTTTTAAACTTACATATTCCCCTTTAATAGGAAGAAATTATATAAAGAGATATACAACCGTTTTTTTGTCTGTTTTGATTTTAATTTGAAATTAGACATCTTGTGTTCTCTTTGCCCACTAAATGGAGCGATCCCCAATCAAAAAGATCTTTAACTATCTGGCATAGCTACTGTTTTTGGAATAGTACAGATCTTTCATATGTTGACTGCTTTTATCTATAAGCATCATAATCCAATGACTGGCAAAAGAAAGGTTGGAGCTTTTATTTTTTAGCAATTAAAAAATTTTGTGGCCCAAGGAGTCCATTATTTCAAGTACTGATGATTTAATTTTAGGTACTAACATTGGTTCTAAATGTTGCCCCTGATGTTTTTAGATAAATGTTTACCTTCTGGCATGTCCTCAACCTTCTCCTCAGACTGTGATCCATCATTCTCCATGTTTTGTTAGTCCTTTTCAGCCTGGCTTGCCTGACACAGCTCTGAAGTCCTCCTCCAGCAAGTAAAACTTACTCCGTGCTCCTCAGCCCCTTTCCTTTCTTCTGAGGAAGTCTATCATCTGCTGCAATCTCTCAGTTTCTCCTTACTAAAGCATGTGAGTCCTGTGATTCCCGTTTTGTACAAACAGCTCCTTGTCTTCAGCCAACTGAATGGATAAAGGATAAAAGATCAGAAGTGGAGAGGGAGACGTTTGTTCTTCATACACTCATAAACGGTTGCTTTTTCATTAGATTTAAGGAGGCGTGACCGGTTGTTATTGGGGATCATTTACTCAGCTGTGCAGGGTGAATGAAAATCCAGCTATTGTAGTGGTCTTGTAAAGTGTCAATTGGAGGCTGAATCAAGCCGCAGTGTCAGAGGGCATGTGTTGATGGACCTCTGTCATGCATATGTGGAGCTGACAGGGAAAGTCTGCCAATTGCACATATGCATAACTCTCTGTGGTAAGAGGGCCCTGCAGAGGATAGTGAGGGGAGCCATACACTTAACTGGATTTGCGACAAATCTTTCCAGCTGTTAAAATCCTGAGGTGCTGACCACTTATGCAGTTTACATTACTGTTTCATGTTTTGTTTAATCTAATCCTTCTGTTTAGATAATTTACTCTAATCTGTGAAAGGTGGCAATCAAAAGATTGTGTTGTTTCATTGTTAAAACGATTTGAAGGGATCACTCCATTTACCTTCGGCTCAGTCATCTGACTAATAAGATAGGGGCGTGAATGCCCACTCTGACCAAATAATGACTGGATTTCAACTTAAAAAAAGGGATTTTGTGGCTATTTCTGGCAGGACTTTTAAAACTAGCACTTCCCATTAAACCATTTCAAATTTTGTCACATTTCCACAAAAAAAAATGTTTGTCTTTGAGTGGCATATTGAATGGCATATTTGCTTAAAATCAACGAGAAGAAGATGTGCATCAGTTTAAACCATTTTTTTTTTTTTTTTTTGGTTTGTTTGTGTTACAGTGGTGGACACATCAATCCATTCAACTGCTTCTTGGAAGAGTCATAGTTGTAAGTCTTTTACAGCATATTTCTGATTGTTTCTTTTTCTTCATTGAATGTTTTCAGATTCCTCTTTGCAAAGAGTGCGGATAGTATCAGTGAACAGAAGTTTTCTTTTTTTGCCACAAGTTCTTTAAGTTTAAGCCCTCTATAACTGCCCTGTTACAAAGGGAAGGTCTGCCACAGTCACACAACCTAAACCCATATGACATGATATTGCCACCGCCATGTTTTCCACACAGATCTGGGTTAACTGCCAAATATGGCTGCTCTCCTATTAAAGCTCTGCTCGTTGGGCCTGTTTATTAGGGCAAAGGCCTTACCGTATCTTAGTTGGTTTGCAGTTGTTCCATTGATCAGAACAGTGCTCTGCCAAATCATCTGACCACTCTCTGCTTTAATGTTTATCCATAATCAGTTTAACATTCACACAATATCACAAATACACACAAATGCGAGACTTGATCTAGCTGCGCTTTGACATACGCACCAAATATTTTGAATATCTCATATGTCTAAAAGTGTTTTAAATAATATTTTTATATTTGTGACACTTGTCAATTTGAAGTCTCTGCAACATGTTATTGTTTTTCTGATAATAAAGATTTTTTTTGTCTCTTGTATGCTCTGTGTAGAAGTTTTTTTTTTTATGTTAGTGACTGTTCTACGAACTCCTGGGTTTTTCTCTCTGGTTATTGCTCCTTTGTTTCTTTTCCTCTCTCCCTGCCTCAGTTCATGCTCCTCCACAGCTGTTAACTAATGTAATGGACTAACATGCTCTTCCTTACACAAATCACCCTCCCTTTCTCTGTGTTTATTCTCCTGGTTTACCTCCCTTCATTGTAAAACTCCTCTGCTGCTTTCTGCTGCTTGCTTTCTTTCTGGATTTCTACACTTAGGTTTTCTCCATTTTATTCAACAAAATCACAGAACTCTTTACAGAACAGCTGAGGTTTAATAAATTTAATTACTATTAAAGTAAATGTTTAAATAAAGAATTGACCATTTAATACATATGTGAGTTTATGTTTATACGCTTGAAAATGCGGTGAGAATTTGGCCTATAGCTCACAGCTCACTGTTTATCTTTTGGTTTTTCACCACCTTTCTGTCTGTCTCTTGTCTTACTCAATGGATGCGTCTCTTTTTGGTTCCCCCAGACAATAAAGCCCCGGAGACAGCTCAGCTGCTCCTCAACTTAACAACAAACCTGTGTTTTAAGGTTACGTAATTCCCACACATCATCTGATTCTGTCGTTGCATGTGAGTATGTAAAAGAGGTATGCGCTCTTCATTTCTCTGTACAAAACAAACCAAAACTTGTCTTTTTTTTCAGTAATTGAGTTCAGGGAAAATGCAATCTGAATTACATGCCCATGGTGCTTAAAAAATCAGTTTTCCAATAAATTCACATTTTTAAAGTTCATCTGCTAGCAGTCTCCTTTTTTGATAATTCGGTTAAACTCTTCAGTCTGCATTTGGATGAAAATAGTAAAACAATACATCAGTCTATATTGATATATATCTACTGAATGATTAAAAGTATCACTACATTAATGTAAAACATTTTGTTTTTTTTAAATGAACTTTCAGTGAGTTGACATACATGGTAATGGTAGCGTTTGATTGGTATTTACAGGGCCTTGTGAAAGTATTCGGACCCCTTGAACTTTGACCTTTTGCCACATTTCAGGCTGCAAACATAAAGTTATAAAATTGTAAATCTTTGTGAAGAATCAACAAGTGGGACACAGTCATGAAGTGGAACGACGTATATTGGAGATTTTAAACTTTTTTTAACAAATAAAAAACGGAAACATTGGGTGTGCAAAATTATCCGGCCCTTTCAAGTTAATACTTTGTAGCAGCAACTTTTGCTGTGTTTACAGTCACTTGGATTATGTCTCTTTCAGTTTTGCACATTGAGAGACGGACATTTCTGCTAATTTTTCCTGCAAAACAGCAAGAGTAAGGTTGAATGGAGAGCGTTTGTTAACAGCAGTTTTTAGTTCTTTCCAGAGATTATCGATTAGATTCAGGTCTGGACTTTGACGTGGCCATTCTAACACCTGGATATGTTTCTTTGTGAACCATTCCATTGTAGATTTAGCTTTATGTTTTGGATCATTTTCTTGTTGGAGGATAAATCTCCATCCCAGTTTCAGGTCTTTTCCAGACTCCAACAGGTTTCTTTCCAGAATGGTCCTGTATGTGCCTCCGTCCTTCTTACCGTCTATTTTAACCATCCCTGTCCCTGCTGAAGAAAAGCAGGCCCAAACCATGATGCTGCCACCACCGTGTCTGACCGGGATGGTGAGTTCAGGGTGATATGTTACTTCCATGCCAAGCATAACATTTTGCATTGTTGCCAAAAAGTTAAATTTGGTTTAATCTGACTGGAGCTCCTTCTTCCACACGTTTGCTGTGTCTCTCAGGTGGCTTGTGGCAAACTTTAAACAAATCTTTTTAACGGATATCTTTAAGGAATGGCTTTCTTCCATAAAGGCCAGATTTCTGTGTTATACGACTAATTGTTTTCCCATTGACTGAGTCTCCCACCTTTGCTCTAGATCTCTGCAGTTCATCCAGGGTGATCATGGGCCTCTTGGCTGCATCTCTGATCAGTCTTCACCCATGGATCTTTGTAGATTTGCAAGGGTCTGGTGCTCCTTTCATTTTAATATTATCTTTTGCACAGTGCTTGTTGTAATGCTTAAGGTTTGAGAAATATTTTTGTATCCAAATCCAGCTTTGAATTCTCCAAAACAGTATCTCAGACCTGCCTGCTGTTTTTGTTGTTCTACATGATGCTCTCTGCACTTTAAGCAGACCTCTGAGACTATCACAGGGCAGCTGCATTTATACGGAGACTTGATTACACAAAGGGGGATTCTATTTATCATCATCAGTCATTTAGATCCACATTGGATCATTCATAGATTCTCACTGAACATCTGGAAAGAGTTTTCTAGACTGAAAGTTTTTCTGTTTTTTCTTTCCTGTTCTACTTACATTGCAGTGTCCATATAATCTGCAATACTGCCTGCATGAATAATAATAAAGCTTTTTATATGCATAAATCAAGCGGAACACGGAGATAGCCCTACTGCTCCACTTGTAAAAGCAATTGAGACAATTATCTTATTATCTTAATCTTATTGCCCCATTGCCAGACAGGACACTGTTAAAAAAAAAAAAAAAAAAAAGGTAAGGTAGTGCATTTCTCCATTGTGAGATCAACAACGTTCTATTCTATTCTTCTATTCGGAGGAGTTTAGCATTGGCGGAGTCCATACTATCATTATTACAGTGGTTGGTTAGTTTGGATAAACTATATTCCTTAGTTTTTTTTACTGAACCTCATTAGCAAATGTAACAAACCAAAAAAAAAAGCAAAGAAATTGAGAAAAAAATATGGCAGGGATTCTATTTTTTTTTTCACGGCACTGTTTTATTAAGAGCCTATTACATGGTAAATTTGCTTGCCATACCAAAGCCACCACTTCCGGGTCCGCTGACTGGGATCACGTGACTCCGTTTGTATTGGTCGGTAAACTTCCGCTTATCTGATTGTCTCCAGCGATGTTTGCGTCTACCTGCTGGTTTCTCCTCTTCTAGTCGCCTTCTGCTGAAAACATGGAGCGGTACGAGTCTGACAGCGATGGAGACGAGCAGCAGAAACCGCTCCTTCGCCGAAAACAGGAAGGGAAAATCCAGAGAGGTAAAACAACTCTGCTGCTGTTAAAAAGCTAACATCATGAAGCTTCTTCTAACAGATATTTAAGTCGTTGGTCCGGTTTTTTTTTTCTTTTTTTAAGGAAGCAATGGACATAACTCTCCGTTTATCTAACAGGTATTTTTAAAATCTGCTTATAATCAGAGGGCGTTTATCTTTTGCATTATTGGGATAAAAGCCAACAGATTGTCCCTCCTCGGCACCAGTTGTTGGCGTCGCCAACTTTTCATGGATTCATTAATCGAAGCTCAGGTGTTTTTTGTTTTTCCAGCACCAGCTGTGCTAAGAGTCAGTCAGCTGCCATAAAACAGGTTTAACTGATCCTCATTATTTACACACCTGCAGGAAACACAGCAG